GGGCAGCAGGTTTAAAACAAATAAAAGGAAGTTCTTCTTCATGCAGCGCACAGTCAACTTGTGGAACTCCTTCCCTGAGGATGTTGTGAAGGCTAGGACTATAGCAGGGTTTAAAAGAGAACTGGATAAATTCATGGAGGTTAAGTCCATTAATGGCTATTAGCCAGGACGGGTAAGGAATGGTGTCCCTAGCCTCTGTTTGTCAGAGGGTGGAGATGGATGGCAGGAGAGAGATCACTTGATCATTGCGTGTTAGGTTCACTCCCTCTGGGGCACTTGGCATTGGCCACTGTCGGTAGACAGGACACTGGGCTAGATGGACCTTTGGTCTGACCCGGTTCGGCCATTCTTATGTTCTTATGTTATAACTTTTCTTTCTTCCTTTCTTCCTTCCTTTCTCTGCAATTTTTTTCTTTTTTTTCTGACAGTAGAAAATAGTAAAACAAAAGACTCCTTTGGCTGCAGATGCAATGCTGCATGGTGTTTTTAACATGTTGAATTCACTTTGGTTGTGGGTATGTCAGAGAGAGTGAATAGCTGTGGGGTCAGCCTCCTACATGGTGTCAATTGGTGTCATTCTACTGAAGGCAATGGACCAGATTCCCAGCTAGCTTAAATAGCCATTGCTTCACGGAAACCAATGGGGTCAGATCCCCAACTGGTGTGAATAAGTCATAGCTCCATAGGAGTCAATGGGGCCAGATCCCCAGATAATGTAAATCACCGTAGCTCCATTGAAGGCAATGGAGTTGCACTAATTTACACCAGCTGAGCATTTGGCCCATTATCAAGACATTGAATTGGTGTTAAAGTTTCTATCTTGAGTGTCCTGGTTGCCACCAAGCTCAGACCCTGCCGGTTCATTGTATGGCTCTCCAGGGCCCACACACAGAGACAGGAAATCCATCCATAGGCAGAGCTGACTTGGGACATTTCTGCTCAGAGCCCTGAAGGTGATGGGAGAGCATTCCTGCTGTATTTTCAGCTGTGATGTGACCATGGGTAGCTGGCACTACCTCCTCCAGGGGCGGTGAGCCAATGGCCATTGTCCCTATGTGTTGGATTCTCCGGCCTGCGCTGTACGGGAGGGCAGAGGAGAGGTGACTTGGTTACAGTAAAAGTACCTTCCTGGGGAGAAAATATCTGGTACTAAAGGGCTCTTTAAGCTAGCAGAGAAAGGAAGAACAAGAACCAATGGCTGGAAGCTGAAGCCAGACAGTCAAATGAGAAATTCGGCATCAATGTTTACCAGTGAGGGTGATCAACCACTGGGACAAATACCCAAAGGAAGTCTCCATCACTTGATGTCTTCCAATCCAGACTGGAGGCCCTTCGGGAAGATGCTTTAGCCACACACAAGTTATTTGGCTCAATACAGGGGGAACCAGATATCATTTAATGGCCAGTGATATACAGGTCAGACAGGAGGCTCTAATCAAAAGGTCCTTTCTAGTCTTAAAACCTATGAAGCTCCAAGTCTGTTTACACAGGTCCTGGAATGCATCTGTTTGACTCCTAATTTGCATCTAATGTTTAACTCCTATTTGTTTTTTGTCTTTTCTATCACATCTGAAAGAGATGTCAGGATGTCAGATCTTGGGATTTGTGTGGCAGATTATTTGATAAGAGCTTTAAACTACAAAGTGTAAATGCAATGACAAGAAAGGGTAGGTTGCACAGAACTCAGTCTCCATGTGCTGATTGCCATGGTTTGGCCGCCTAATGAGCAGCTCAAAAGATTCACTGGAGTTTTATTCATCCAAAAGGAATTTGAAGATAAAACAGGAACCACGGGAAGAAAAACAAATCTGGTTTCTGTGAGACAAGACAAGTGTCATCTCTTACAACCGGATTTACCTTCAAGAGGACAATTGTAATGTGGGACCAGGACACACCCATTTGGACAGGTGCAACTGGTGACACAAAGCTGGAATAAAAAGGAGAATGATTGTGGTTCATTATGACTTGGCGTGTCAAAGGAGCATGAGGGAGTTAGGAACACCACTAACCTGGGGGACCTAATTCTGACCCACTGACACCAATGAGTGATTTACAGCAGCTGGGGATCTGGCCAGTTGACTCCAGTGGAGCTACAGGTGATTCACACTAGCTACTGATGGGATCCATTGACTCCAATGGAGCTACAGACAATTCACACCAGCTGTGAGCATTCAGCACATTTAGTCTGTGCTCCGGCATATTGTCGGCCAGGGAACCTTTCCCATGGTTCCTGCATTGTGCCCAACTCCGCGTGTTAAAATGATAACATTCGGTTCTGGAGGTTGACATTAAGAAAGG